CGTCAAAGTGTTACAGGTTCCTGCTGAGGTGCAGTAGGTGATCGGAGGAGACTGACCCTGGGTGACCTGGAGCTGTGCTGGTGCTCCCAGCCTATTGCCATATGGGCACCCATCTGTGCTTCCTGGACTGGGAGTTCCGGGTTGACCTGAGCCTGATGCACCAGGCATTACAACCAACTCAAACAGCAGAGGTCAGGGAATCAACAGGGTATTCAAGTGCAAGGACTCTCCTGCCCCAACAGTTAGCCTCAGTGTGATCTGAGAGAGAGGTCCTTCCCTGAGGTTGCAACTGTTGGTTCCTGTCCTTGTGAGACCTTTGGCTGTCACCTCCCTTCCCTGGACCTCAGTTACCTCAACCGGAAAATGGAACTTTCCAAACCTCCTTAGGGAGTTGTCATGAGCACCAATGGTGAAAACAGTCCTACATTGCCAAGCAAATGGTCAGGTACTGCCCTGGACTTACTGGGGCCAAAGAGTGAGACTCGCTGCTGCTCCCAGAGGCTGAGAGTTGGAACAGCTGATCTCAATGGTAGAGGATGCAGAACTGGGTGCCCTCTCTAGATCTGCCCCTTCCCATCTCTTCCACCCTGAGCAAGTCATCCTTTGCTTCTGAGCCTCACTTTCCTCAGTGAAGAAATAAAGACAGTAACACTCCCACCTGCTTGCTTCTGAGATGAAAAAAAAGGTGAAGCAAGATAAGCACCTAGTGTTGTGCAGTCATGTCTGGGCAGAGGTGGGGTTCCAGAGGATGGTGTTGGGATCAGAGCTCTTAGAACTCAAGGTCAGAAGTACCTTTGAGCCACCCTAGTCCAGTTACCTCCACTTCTGGTCAGCCACCCTGCAGACCCTGACTCTAAGTGTCTAGAGAGGAGCTCAGGCATCCATCGCTTAAGCAAACTTATTTGATAATTTTATTTAATCTTTACTTTTAGAAATATATTGGCCTGGCAGAAAACTTCAACAGAACTAAAACATGTGAAATGGAAGAGGAAAATAAGTTGGGTTCAATTCACGTCTAGCTTTGGCTGAGTCCTTCTCCTTCTCTGGACCATAGGCTCCCCAGTCTTCCCAGCAAGGAGGTTAAGTTGACCTCTAAGCGCTCCTATGACTTTGATGTCTGTTATGTTTCCAATGTGGTTAGTTGACCCCGGAGTTGTCACCTAAAGGGAGGAGTTGATGTGAAACTATAAATGTGTTAAGTCAGGACTTACTGTGAGTTTGAACTGCAGGACCCAAGCCACACTGGCTTTAAGAGGAGAGTTCTATAAAGAGGGAATGGTCGGTGCAGAGGGCCGAGGCAGCAATGAATTTTCTATTTTTCTGGAAAAGAAGGAAGACAATAGAGCCGTGGAGAGACAGGTATAGGTGCGTTTGGGGTGGCAGTGAGTAGATGACACAGGAGCCATGATGGGGACTTCTGTTTAAGGTGAGAGCTTTAACTTCTGGCAGCTGCATTGAGAGTAGAGGGGGTGGGGGCATGTGTGCAGAGGGATACCGCGTATATGGGGTATAAACAGAGGCCGACTATATTCACTCTCAGGAGAAACTCTACTGACTCATTGGAGTGGGCAGATGTGGGAGGGTGGGTCCTTAGCAACCTGTCATTGCAAGTATTTTTCCCGAGGCTGGTTCCACTGTGAAGGATGTTATGGAGAGTGCTCGGACACAAGGCAAGGTTTGGGAAGAACGACTTCACTGGTCACTGACCCTGATGCTACTATGGGCTGCGAGTCTAGCCCCATCTCTGTCTCTGTCTTAGAGGCTGGCTGCTTTCCCTCTCTGACCCTGAGTTTGCAAATACTGATAAAATTAAGCTAGATGATCACTATGGATCCTTCTATGGATCCAGAATATTCTCCAATTCATCCATTCACAGTTTCAGCCCCAGGCCCCCACCCACATGGCCAGCATGTTGGTAGCAGGAGGCTCCATGAGAACCTGCTCTTATTCTTGAAACAAAGTCCTCTCCATAGCCACCCAATTCAAGCATCCTGGCTGACCTTTGCTTTGGAAGTCTCTCTGCTCACTCTGGACAGGGCTTATTTTCACTGGAGTCTCCTTGGATGGCTCTGGACGCAGCGTTTTTTTCTTGGGGCAGCCTCCCTCCCTATCACCATCAATATAAGGGCCATCACCACCCAGCAGAATTCCAGGAGACTGTGCAGAGGAGCAAGGACTTTGTAAGTATTTTTCTTCAAACCTGTGACTGGTGGGCTTCCCCCTTAATGTCACTCCACATGGAGGCCTACAGAAGGCGTTGGGGACAAGAGGCATTGGGATTAAATTAGCCACTCAGTTGTGTTTGACTCTTTGCGACCCCATGGACTGTAGCCCGTCAGGCTCCTCTGTCCATGGATTTCTCCAGGCAAGAATACTGCTGTGGTTTGCCATTTCCTTCTCCAGGGGATCTTCCTGACCCATGGACCAAATCTGGGTCTCATGCACTGCAGTCTTTACCATGGGAAGCTCTTCAGGAAGGCACCAGGGAAGCTCTTCAGAAGGCTCTAAGGACAAAAGACAGAGGGGTGGGGCCACTTGAATTACCTAATGTTTTGAATGGAGCAAACTAAGAAATAGATTCAAGTAGGAGAAATGTCAAATTGATGATGAATGCAGTGTCATGATGTGCTGCCCACTTATTGGTTCATACTTTTATTTGGCAAACTTTATTTTGTTGTACTTAACTAGCGGCAGTTTTTTACTTTGAGTTGGGAATTCAACTCATCGTGAAATACGTCACAATCCCCCCTCTAAGGAATTCACAGCCTGGTGGGAAAGGCAGCCAAATTGTCACTAATTGGGACCCAGGACTTTGAACAGTGAATAAAGGCAGCAAGATGGCCGAGTGAGTCCACCTAACTTAGTCGCTGGGGAGTGTTCAAGACGACATGATGTCCTACTGAAGCTGGAAAGTCAGTAAGAAGTGATTCAGCTTAAAATGAAAAGAAGGAAATGTTCCATGCAGAGAAGTTAGCATGTGCAAAGGACCTCTAGTAAAGAGAATTGACCTGGAGTCAAGTGTGACTTTTCAAACAGTAGCTCCTTTATTCACTGGTTGTTCATCTCTGGGCAAGTTTCTCTAGCTTTTTGACCTGGGTTGCCCATCTGTAAGAGAGGAGATAACCGCACCTGTCGTCAAGGACTGTTGAGTGTAAGAGTCGTAGGTGCTCATCCATGATGCCATTTCCCTGTGGGTAATTCTCACTCCTGTTCTTCCCGTGAATATTCAGGTATCAGGGCAAGATGTTTCAGCTTTGGAAACTTGTTCTCTTGTGTGGCCTGCTCGCCGGGACCTCAGCGTCTTTTCTTGACAATATTGGCAAGGATGTTCGGAGGAAGCTGAAATCTGGTCTTGAGGAAGGACTTGACAACCTTGACAGTACACTTGAAAGTGAGTCAACAATGGATGATCAGGGGCACCTAGGAGCTTGCTTCCTACATACTATGTCTGTATTACCAAAGGCGGCCAGCAGGTGCAGCTCCTTATGGGTGGTTTATGATTCCTGGCTCATTTGTTTATTATTTTTCTAGAAACAGGCAATACTTAGCTGAATATCACTTTACATCTTATATCATGGTAAACTTTGCTAATATATTCATAGGATAAAATCCTCAAAGTGACATTTCAAAAGTTCAAAAGGCTTGCATATTTTAATTTGCAGCACATATTGACAAATAATCCCGTATGTTAATAGTTTCTCCAATCATCTGTGAGAGTATCTTTTTTCTACTCTCTTGACAGCACTGGTTTGGACAACTGAGATTTTTTCCAGTCTCACAGATGAAAGGTTATAATTCATCACAGCATTTGTCTAATTATGAAAGAATTCACTCATTTTTTTCATATTCATTAGCAATTTATATATTGTCATTTAAATATTTAATTTATATTTGTAGCATATTCTTCTGTTGGGTTATCCAATTTACTTAGTCATTTGTATTAACCAACTGGAAAAGAATTTCTACCTAGCCTAGGTAGCTTTAAATTTACCTACCATTCTAGTGAATCATATTTCCTTGTCATTCTAATTTCTTGAAGGACCTCGGTCCTTTCACTTTTTGGAAATGTTACTAGGACATTGCTAAACATTCTTTGTAGGAGAAGCTAACTTCTGTAAAGGACTGCCTTCAAACCTTGCCAGGGCTTAGGCAATCTCATAGATACAGCAGGGACCTACTTTCCAATTTCATTGCCAGTAAAACAGCAATGCTTCTGAACACAGAACCAGAGGTGTATACATCAGAGTCGCCTAGTAAGTTCTAAGACCAGATGTAGTTTCCATCGCTGCATCATTATAACTAGGTGCTGTCCATTGCAGAGCCACGTTGCAGTTCTTTGATTACATACTTTTTCTTGCAGCCTTTTCTTCTTCTTTGAGCGAGTTGTTGCCTTGTTGTTTCTCATTTGAATTATTTTCTACACATATTTTCTTAATACTTTTCAAATGTGCCATTCTGCATCTGCCATGTCACTTCCTCTATCAAATCCCTCTTTCCTCTGTCCATTAGGATTCTCTCTTCTTGTTCTCTGCTATTAGTTAGTCCTTTCTAGGCCTTATGCAAAATTGTCATTCAGAGACTCCTATTCGACAATCTGTATATTTTCTCTGATTCTAGATTTTCCATTTCTTATTTTATTCTACATTTATTTTGTTTGTATGAGCAGCTCATTAGTGCTTCACTACTAGAAGCTGATGTGCAATCAGTACCTACTGACTGCTCAGTGGGTTGATTGCTTTGTTGATGAATAATGAGTATGTATTAGCATGAAGTCAGCATAAAAAGAACAAGGTCTTCTAGCTGTGTGACTTTGATCAATTTCTAAAACTCTTGATCTTTAATTTCCTCATCTGAAAGTACAGATGTTAATAATACCTACTTTATGCAGTTGTTGCAAAGATTAAATGAAATAACATAGGCAAATATTCTCATTTAGTACCTGGTGCGTAGGAGCTGCTTCATAAGTTGTGTACCACACTAAGTGGAGATTGTTTTTGCAGCTATCTTGGGGCAATTGAAGACTGCTGAGGAGAACCCGGAGAAGACTGAGGAAACTAAGAACTTGTTGAAACAACTCATTTCTGGAATTTTTGAAGAAGTGGAGAGGCTTACAGGGTGAGTTGATGCTTCATTTGGAGAGTTTTGTTCCCAGAAAAGAGAATACATCTCTTTGGGGACATAAGTTTAATATCAAAGACAAAAAGTGAAAGTGAAAGTCTCTCAGTTCTGTTTAGTCGCTCAGTCGTATCCGACTCTTTGCAACCCCATGGACTGCAGCACGCCAGGGCTTCCCTGTCCATCACCAACTCCAGGAACTTGCTCAGACTCATGTCCACCGTGTCAGTGATGCCATCTGACCATCTCATCCTCTGTCGTCCCCCTTTCCTTGTACCTTCAATCTACCAGCCTTAGGGTCTTTTCCACAGAGTCAGTTCTTTGCCTCAGGTGGCCAAAGCATTGGAGTTTCAGCTTCAGCATCAGTCCTTCCAATGAATATTCGGGACTGATTTCCTTTAGGATGGACTGGTTGAATCTTCTTGCAGTCCAAGGGACTCTGAAGAGTCATCTGCAGCACCACGGTACAGAACTATCAATTCTTCAGTGCTCAGCTTTCTTTATAGTCCAACTCTCACACCCATACATGACTACTGGAAAAGCCACAGCTTTGACTAGATGAACCTCTGTCAGCAAACCAATAATGTCTCTGCTTTTTAATATGCTGTCTAGGTTGGTCATAGCTTTTCTTCCAAGGTGCAAGTGTCTTTTAATTTCATGGCTGCAGTCACCATCCGCAGAGATTCTGGAGACCAAAAAAATGAAGTCTGTCACTGTTTCCATGGTTTCCCCTTCTGTTTATCATGAAGTGATGGGACCAGATACCATGATCTTTGTTTTTTGAATGTTGAGTTTTAAGCCAGATTTTTCACTCTCTTCTTTCACTTTCATCAAGAAGCTCTTTAGTTCTTCTTCGCTTTCTGCCATAAGGATGCTCTCATCTGCATATCTGAGGTTATTGATATTTCTCCCGGCAATCTTGATTCCAACTTGTACTTCTCCCAGCCCAGCATTTCAAATGATGTACTCTGCATATGAGTTAAATACCCAAGGTGACAGTATACACTCCTGACGTACTCCTTTCCCAATTTGGAACCAGTCTGTTGTTCCATGTCTGGTTCTATTTCTTCTTGACCTGTATACATATTTCTCAGGAGGCAGGTCAGGTGGTCTGGTATTCCCATCTCTTGAAGTATTTTCCACAGTTTGTTGTGATCTACACAGTGAAATTTGCTCAGTCATGTCCAACTCTTTGTGACCCCATTGACTATGCAGGTCATGGAATTCTCCAGGCCAGAATACTGGAGTGTGTTGCCATTCTGTTCTCCAGGGGATCATCCTAACACAGGGATTGAACCCAGATCTCCCACATTGCAGGCGGATTCTTTACAAGCTCAGCCACCAGGGAAGCCCGTAGTTGGTTGAGTCACTCATGTAGGCAAAGGGTTCCTCTTAGAGTGCTGTGCTGTTCTGTGCTCAATTGAACCCAGATCTCCCACATTGCAGGCAGATTCTTTACAAGCTCAGCCACCAGGGAAGCCCGTAGTCGGTTGAGTCACTCATGTAGGCAAAGGGTTCCTCTTAGAGTGCTGTGCTGTTCTGTGCTCAGTCGCTCGTCCTCTCCACTTTTTGCAACCCCATGGCCTGTAGCCTGCCAGCCTCCTCTGTCCATGGGGATTCTCCAGGCAAGAGTACTGGAGGAGGGTTGCCATGCCCTCTTCCAGAGGATCTTCCCAACCCAGGGATTGAACCCAGGTCTCCCACATTCCAGGCAGATTCTTTACCAACTGAGCCACCAGGTAAGATGAATAATCTTGTGTGTTCTTACAGAGCAGGAGTGGCCTGAGGCCAACTCCACCAGAACTTGGGAAAATTAGAGGGCTGTGGGGGCTGTCCAGGTATCTAATGGGTTTAGGCTTTCTCTTCTGTGATATCAGGGTCAGGATGAGGATTCTCTTCACCCTACCTCTACCTGTTTGCCGGTGCCCAAATTCCCTTTCCCCAAGAATAAGACTTTTCTTCTCTGAATATAACTGAATTTAAAAGTATGAATGGTCTCAGGAGAGAGGAAACTAGAATTCACACCATGTAGGTGGCCCACACGTGAAATCTGGGAATCAAGCAGTTCCAGGTTCTAATTCTAGCTCTGCATAAAAAGGAATGAAATAATGTTGTTTGCAGCAATAACCGAATGAATGTAGAGATAATCATACTAAATGAAGTAGGTCAGAGAGAGAAAGACAAATATCATAGATACCACTAATACATAGAATCTAAAATATGATACTAAAAACTTATACAAAAAGACTCATGTGCATAAAAAATTAAAAGAAAAAATTCACAGTTACCAAAAGGGAAACAGTGTGGAGGCTAAATTAGGAGTTTGGCATAAATATATACACACTACTATATATACAATAGACAACCAACAAGGACCTACTATATAGCACAGGGAACTATACTCAATATTTTGTAATAACTTATAAGGGAAAAGAACCTGAAATAAAAATACATCTATATTTATATCTGAATCACTTTGTTGTACGCCTGAACCTAATGAAAAGTGAAAGTGTTAGTCACTCAGTCGTGTCTGACTCTTTGTGACCCCACAGACTATAGCCCACCAGGCTCCTCTGTCCATGAAATCTCTAGGCAAGAATACTGGAGTGGGTTGCCATTTCCTTCTCTAGGGATCTTCCCAAACCAGGGATCAAACCCGGGTCTCCTGCATTGCAGGCAGATTCTTTACCCTCTGAGCCACCGTGGAAGCCCCACACCTGAACCTAGCATAACATTGTAAAGCAACTAGATATCAATCTAATAAAAAAGAACAAATTCTGACTCTGACACCTATTCACCCTTGGAGTCTTGAGGGAAATCACAGCTGTCTGATCGTCAGTCTGCCATGCAATCCAGGGAGAGAATCCAACCCCTGAGCAGGACTCCCATGAGACCAAAGGCAAGGTCTATGAGGCTCAAATGCTCAGCACAATGCTGGCATAGACAAGAGCCCAGCAATGACTGTCAACAGGAATGACAGGGTGAATTGTGATTTTTGCACAGGTTGAAAATCAGTAACCTGCACATCCTGGATATCACATTCAAAGAGACTTCTGATGGCAAAGGTGCTATAGTGAAAGTCCCCATCACTGCCGAAGTCAACGTGAACTTGTGAGTATGTCTTGGAACTTGACATTTGGGACTTGCAGTGCATAGTATGGCTGCACTGATAGATCCCCAGTTTGAAATCAGGCAATTTCTACCCTGCTACCTTAGTCTCTCAATCTATAAAATAAGAAGGTCTTTGCAAGTCTAGAATCCTAACCTTTAAAATGCTCTACCAGACTTTTCCTATAACCAAATCTCGCTTTTAAAAAATCCCTCCATGAAATACATTTGCAAAATCTTAACACTTTTCTAATTATAAAATTTGAGAATTGAGAAGACATGATCACTTATAACTCTTTGGCAAAGTTTACCCCAGCATCATTTTGTCTCTCAAGATTCTCATTAAATGGCAGTGACCAGTATAGGCCATATAGCAGTGTACAGTATGTAATGAAGAGCATGTGGAAATTATATGGAAAATATACTTTCTAGGCCTTTTAATTACTTTGAAGATACAGAGAGATAGGAAATGTAGGACATGTAGAAGTCTTTATAAATTAAAGTGCACTATGACTTCATCATTCATTAGTTTGAGATCCTGAGATAGTTACTTAAATTCTCTACACCATGTGCTTCCTCATTCTGAAAACAGAGATAGTGATAGTACTTTTAGAAATGGTATTGCTGTAGAGATTAAATGGATTAATCCAGGTAAAACGCATTTTTGGAAATACCTAACATAGTATTTTCTTAGGAAATGTTAACTCATTTTTATTTTAATCATTGGTGTGATACTCTATATAAATTTCACATGAGCCAAACCCTTGGGGCCAGGAGAAGAAATTCCTAATGTAAGAATGTAAATTCCATAAAGAATACAGATAATATTGACATTGTCCATTTGTTGTTCATCAACTAAGTCCTATTCAACTCTTTGTGACCCCATGGACCACAGCACACCAGGCCTGTCCTTGTCAATAGACATCCCATATAATGTCCACACTAGAGAGAGACTAAAGTGGACAATGTGAAGAGTCTTCACCTCTGTTCACTGTGAACCTATTTCCCAGCAGGCCTATGTTGGGTGATATTGTCAACTTGGCCCTCAACTTGGACCTCCAGTATAGTGTCAGCGTTGAAACTGATGAAGAGACTAAAGTCTCCACCGTGGTCGTGGAAGAATGCAGGAGCGATCAATACAGCATCTCTCTCAGCGTGCTGGGCAGGTCAGGTGCACACATTTCAGCAGAGTGGGGATGTCAGAGGAGCTGGGACTCATCATCTCAGCCCTATTCCTTACCTGGGAGGGAGCAGAGCATGAAAAAAAGAGGTTAGACTCTGGAATCAAGTTAACTTTGTCACTCACTTGTGATTTGGTAATCAATTTAGCCTCTAGATGCTTCAGTTTTCACATCGGTAAACAAAGGATGGTAAGAATACATAACTCATAGGCTACTGTGTTAGCCAAATGAGAAAATGCAAGTGTTTACCCTACCTCCTGGCACATACTAAGCTCTCAGTAATAATAATATCCATGCTGACTTTCAGTCTCTTTGTTCTTCCCCTTACTGAGACTGGAGTGCTGACCTGTCCAACCGTAACTGTAAATTGCTATATTTCGCCTTTCAGCTTTATCTATTTTAGCTTCATGTTTTTTAAAGCTCTGTCATTAGATGCATACACATTTAGCATTCTTCTGTCTACTTGAAGAACTGACCCGTCTCATATTACATAGTGTCCCTCAATAATAATAATAATTCACTGTGTTCACCTTCCTGCCTCTTGTTAGGAGAGGGCAAGAGGAATAGTAAATGCCTGCTGTGGGCTCTAATTTCAGACTGTCCCCAAAACCATCCTCTACCCACTGAAAAATTCCCAAAAATGGCATCTTGAAAACTGAGTCCTCTCCATTTAAATCACTGGTCTCCAGTAACCCACCAAATCTACATCTTAAACTGTGTGCTTGAAAGAACATGTTTAATCCGGGGAAGAGGGTGGAAGGAGAAAGACTGATCCTGGTCCTGGCTGGGAGAGAACTAGTCTGGAAGCTGAAGGCTGGGGCAGGTTGGCCTTCGCAGGTAACAAGGCTGAGTCGTGAGCAGAGGTCAGTTCATCCTGCCCAACAGGTATCTGATCACAGGTTTGCCTGCAGACCCCCAAAACAAAAGATAGGATAAGTCTGCAGCCTACCGGCACTTGGAAAGACTGAGGTGTAAGCCCAAACATCTGAGCCCTACTGGACACTGCCTAGTCTATAGTGCCAGGGAAACCATCCTGCCTTCCGGGTCTCAGTGTCCATGTCTGTAAAATGACATTCCACTCTGCTGCTTCAAACTCTCAGGGGGCTTTTCTATCCACTTCGGATGCAAACTCAGGCCCTCCCAGGGTCATCTAGTTCTACCTGATTTGGATCCACACCTTGCCCACTCTGCCCTAGACCCACTAGCTTTTGCTCTGAGCCTCGGACAAACTCCTTCCACTCAGAACCTGTGCATGGGCTGCTCAGGCACCTAGGACACCTTTCCTGCATCCCATTTCCATGTATGTCTCATCGTTTAGGGTCTAAAACATTGTTCCTCTCCTCTTCTCCTCTCTCATAGGATTCTACTTTTGCCCTTCTCACTACTTGTCACAAATTGTCATTAAATATTCAATTGTAAGTTTACTTCATTTATTCCTTCAGCCAAAAACATGTGGAGCAGCTGCTCCATACAGGCAGGCACCATTCTGAGCTCAGGAGAAAGTACTGGTGACTGCTGGCAAGGTGCTTGTTCTCATGGAGCTTAGTCTCTGGAGGGAATGACAGACAGGGCAGAATTCAGCCCAGCAGTAAAGAACACACATGGAAAATGTTCGATTGCCATCATCCCTGGGCAGAACAGCACACCTAACAGGGTGCTATGACAGAAGCCCCGCCTTAGCAAACAGTTACAAGGACTGCCCTGAGGAGGTGACACTTAGGCAGAGAGCTGAAGGTGGGAAGGAGTCAGTCTTAGGAAAATGCATTAAAATTAAGTTGGCCAAAAAGTCTTTTGGTTTTTTCCATAAGATCTTGCAGAAAACTCCAATTGAAACTTTTATCCAACCCAGTATTCAGGTACCAAATTAGGAGTTGCTTGGGCTTTGTTCATCAATGTGTCACCAGTCAGTCCTGCTTTTGAGCACATAGTTGGTGCTCTCTAAATATGTGTTGATGAATGAATGGATGATTAGATGCACGAATGGATGGATGGATGAATGGGTAGAAGGATGGATGGATGGATAGAAGAATGGATGTACAAATGAATGGACAAATGGATGGATGGATAGAAGAATAGTTGGATGGGTGGATGGAAGGATGGATGGATGGATCGATGGATGGATGGATGGGTCAATGAGGTTAGGGTTGCGATGAGACTGTCATGAGCTATTGAGGTGGGCTGCTGGTCAACCATGGGGTTCTAAGTAGTGATCCCCCTGGGTAGAGGCCCAAGTCACCTGGTTTCAAGGTGCTTCACCACCTTCTGCCCTCTTCCCACTGCTCTTGCTTGGCTGCTCTGCCAACTTTACCAAACTTAATCAGTTTCCTCTCTTCTCCAGGCGCATTAAACTGTTCGACGAGATGTTGGACTTTGTAATCAACCTCGTGAATGAGGTGTTGTTCCTGGTAACACACTACGAGGTGAGTCCCCCACTCCTGGGGTGCAGAGCCAGGCCTGGTGGGGTCAGGTGTGACCTTCCTTGGCTCGGCTGTACTCTCTGGGCACCTTCCTTTTTGAGGGGCCAACTTCCTTGGGGCAATCAATTGCTACCTGTCCCACTTCACTCAGCCTGGCCTGGGGAGGAGGTGAACAGGGGCGTGACCTGAGCTGAAATCACTGGGTCCCACACTTGAACCATTTAAAATACCCATGGACTGCCAGTAGGCCTTATAGCTAATGTCTGTCTTCATTCAACACAATTTTAATTCATTTCAATAAAAAAAAAGACTGTACATACTGTAGTTCAGATTCATACGCATCATATGAGAAAACCATATGTACCATCTGCCTGAAATTCGAAAGATTCTATATTACTCAACTCTGGTAGGGGGCTGGGACTCTGGCTTTATTTTTAAAAAGTCCTCCATGTTGTTCTGTGTTTTATTGAGCTTGAGTCACACTCAAAGTGTGTTCCTCAGATCAGCAGCACTGACCTCTCATGGGCACTCATTAGAAATGGATAATAGAGACTCAGATAATACCCCAGATCTGTTGCTCAGTAATCTGCATTTTAACAACATCCTCAGGGAATTGTAGACACACAAAATTGTGGAAAACAAAAAAAAACACTTCTCTGTGGTTCCCAGGGCCCCATTGAACTCTATAAAGTTTCAGAGTCCAGTGGTCAAGGCTTCTAAGGGCATAGTGTTCGGCAATGTTAAAAGTCTAGATTCTCCAAGGTTCTAGGATTCTAATGTTCTGAAGTTTTAGGACCCTAGTGCCATCTGGTTCTCAGATTTGGACCTTATAGGTTTCCACTGTTCTAGAGCCCTAAGGGTCAGAAGTTCTGAGGCCCCCAGTACTGCATCTCTGTGGGTGGCAGGCAGGGAGCTCACAGCAGGTAATAACTAGTCCTCTTCCTTCTCCCAACTCTCCTCTCCCTCCTCACCTCCCAACCACTTTCTTTCCTTCCCTCTCTCCATTTCTCTCTCTTGTGTCTCTCTCTTTCCCTGGCTCCTTGCAAACCTCAGGTGTGCCCACGAGTCCGCAGTTTCCTTGGAAGCCTGGATGTGGATTATGTTAAGAACCGCATTGGTAAGTCACAGCCTGGGGAAGCGGGGAGGAGGCTCCCTGTGGAGCCTAGCAGGGGAGGGCATGCTGCTCTATGCCTGCCACACCGGAGAGGCTGAGGACCCTTCATTGTGAACAAGTTGGAAAAGTGTGGCCGTGCAGTCTGATAGCCTCTGTGGGCCTCTGAGGGCTTCTATTGCCCTCCTTTGTCACACTGGCAGAACCTCCTGCCCAGAATGATGTGACAAAGAGGATGGGCCATATCTGGGTTCAAAACCTGGATGTTCTCTTAGCATCTGTGAGGTCGGGGTCAACTGGATCTACCTCTCTGAGCCTCGGGTTCCTCCCAAGTAAAAGGAGATTGCAAACGCTGCCGAGCTGATCAGTGAAGATTTAAAGAAAAAGCAGAAAGAGTTTAATATCCAGTAGGCATTTTTAATAAACACAGCCCCTTCCCTTTCACTTTTTATAAGAGGACGTAGCTTCACCTCCAACCTCTGGAGGCTCTTCTTGACCTGGATCTCTGGCAACACTGGGGTTGCTGGGGCTGAGGAGCAACAGAAATGGGGTGAGTAACAGTGTCAGGGTCCTGGAGGCAGTCTTTCTAGAAAATAGCCACAGACCCAGTTCACTGGACCTCTGCTCAGTGCTTCTTATATACTATCTCACTGGATCCTTGCAATGACCCTGTGGGGATGCGTTGTGTCATCACACCCATTTTACAGATGATCTAACTGAGGCTTAGAGATGGAGTGACATGGAAGATGTCCCGTGGCTCTCAAGTCTGACCTGCTGGATGGTTTCAGCCATTAGTGTCCGATTTCTATTCAGCTTCTAGTGCTGGAATCTGAGAACTTCTACTGATTTGTTCTTTCAGATGAGCTTTATGAAAACCAACAGAAAAAGTAAAAAGCACAGTTGAAAACCTCCGTGATGCGTGCCTGCTGGTGAGGGCCAGGCTCTGGGCCCTGGGCTATGGGAGGATAAACACCCCCACCCCCACCCCACACACACACACACAGGGGCCTGTGGAGAACCAGAAACAAAGCTTGGCTTCTCCTCTTTCTCTAGTAGCAGACTGAGCCCTGATCTCAGTCACAGACCAAGTCCTGACCCTTAATCACACATCCAGACTGCACTTGATTCTTCTCCCTGACTGAGTTCAGAACACAGTCGGACATAGCTTTCACTCCACTTGATGACTGAGCCCTGACACTGGTCATGGATAGAGCGCCGACCTGTATCTCAGTCTGATCCCTGATCCTGATCATACACTGAACCCTGAACCCTGGCTCCTCTGGGCCTTGCTTAGTCTTTCCACATTGGTCACTGTTGCTAAAGTGAGGGGGTGGGAAGGTGAGGGGATGAGGAGGGGTCAGTGCCCGGTGCCAGAGAAAGACCCCAAACCACAGGTGCCAGTCCCTCCTAAAGCCTCAGGGCTCACAGGGTTTGAGGGAAGCACTCCTGCTGCTGTGTCTGGTGAACACAGCAGCCAGTAAGGGCCCCGGGATGTCCATGCCTCACACCGTGGTCTCCTTCCAGATTGGTTCCTGGGGACGTGACTGAATCTCTGTACCGTCTCCCTCTGGGACGATTGATGCTGCCACCATCCTCCAGGAGTGACAACAGAACCCAGTCAAAGGACACCTCTCACAGTCAGGACATCCTGTGTTCCTCACCCTCCACCCCCAGCAATAAAAAGCCATTTCTGCACCTGCTGTGTGGCCGTTGCACTCCTTCCACTGGGATTTCAGGGAAGGCGAGGTATGGGCAATTAGGGCAGCAGTGATGTGGATCTGTAGCTGGAAGGGAACTTTGGGATTATCCAGCCCCACTTCTGTGTCTTAAAAATAGGATCACTGAGACCCAATGGGCAAGAAGGTGATCCAGGTTCACTGGAGACAGCCTCATTATGCTTCTGCTAACACCACCGCCATGTTGGAGGGCTGCCTTCACCAGCACACCTGAACTCATGACCTCCTCATAGGACCCTTCTGCAGGAGACACCAATCTTGTCCCCATTGGACAGATGAGGAAACTGAGGCTCATAAGGACAAGTGACATATTGAGCTTACAGGGTAACAACTGGCAGGACTGGGTTTTAAATCCATGGGTATGGGATCTCTTGCTCAGAGAGGAGACATCGCCCTGAGTACTCAGCCACCTCTCCCCAGCCCCAAGCAGGTCCCGCTGTCCTGGCCTTGATCTCTCCCGCCCAACACTGATGAGGTTTCTCTCGTGGCCCTTCTCAACATGCAAGCCCTCGGCTTCCCCTTTACCCTGGAACTGGAGCACAGAGCCCTTTACTCACAGCCGTGTCACCTTTGCAGAGAACAGACCCAGGCTATCACCTCAGGGACCCTGGGCCTCTCCTTTTCAGGGTGCCATCTGGCTTACCTGCCCAGAGGGCCAGAGAACATTTGCCCATCTTGCCATGAGCCATCTCACTGCTGTGTGCAATTCTGTGAGGGAAGAACCACTGTCGTCCTCATGGGAGACTCGGGGTAAGAGAGGCCAGGGTCACACAGAGGCCCGAACCAGCGCTGCTTCACTCAAGGGCCTTCTGTCTGAAGGAGGCCCCACAAGGTCAAATCACCATAGGAGGCCCTTGAGCCCCTGGGGCAGCTTGGTCCGGGGGGCCTTGGAGCAGCTCTCCCAAGAGACATCAGTTCAAGCTGTGCCGGGGCTCCTGACACACGTGAGGTGAGAGGTTGGACAGAGCTGAGCATGACCTGGCCTCTGCTGTTGCCAGCTGTGTGATCCCAGCCAACTTACCTAACCTCTCCGAACCACAGTCCTCAAACCTGCCCAATGGAGTTAACAGCAAAACCTCCCTCATTGTGTGGACGTGAGAATGAAATGAGTCAGTGAGTGGAAAGTGCTTTACCAGAGTCTGACTCTGGTGAGCACAAATGAATGTCAGCCTCTACACACTGGAGTCACTGCTAAATGGTGTTGAGAAATTCTGTATTAAATCTTTATACACAGTATCTCACTCAATTCTGATTTCTACTGAGTGACGCAGTGACTGGTTCTTGGAGTAGGCGTGGCAACTGAGTCTCAGAGAGGTGAAATGACTTCTCCAGGGCAACACAGCCTGTCAGAGGATAAACTGGATTCCATTGAAACTCAGAGCTGGTGCTTCCTCTGCTGGCCAGAGCAAAGAGATGAGAGTTTTCCTCTCTATCTTATTTTGTGACAAGACCAACTCCCACAACAGCACACAAGCAGGTCTCACAATTCAGGGCTTCTCTTGAGCAGTAGCCCACTCTGGTCAGTGCTGAGCCTTTGTCCAGGCTGTTCCACCCCCTGGTCATCATTCCTTCCCTCCCTCTAGCTTCTCAATCTTCCTCTGCCCACCACTCTGCTCAGGACCTGTCTCCTGGTAAGTGGGGGCCACTGCTCAATGTTGCCCCGACAAAGAGACCATGTTTTCCAACTGGTAGGTCTACCCAAGCTACCTTGTCATCATTGTCCCATACAGATAGAGGGTTCAGGAAGTGTCAGCTCTCATAAAAAAGGTTTACACTTTTTTAGTTATCTTTTTCCGATTTTTTGGTAAGAACAAAATTGACATTCATCACTGTATAAGTTGAAGCCAACAGTTTGATTTCTGTGTACTATGAAGTGATTATGACAATAGGTTAAGCTAACATTCAAGTTTTCTCATATAGATACAGTAAAAAATGAAGAAAAAAAGAACAACAGTTTTTCCTTGTGATAAGAACTCTTAGAATTTGCTCTCTTAACGTTTCTGTATATCATACACCACTGCTAGCTATAGTCATCATGTTGTATATTATACCCCTAGTATTAAAATATGAGGAAGAGTAGCAATAAATGCCTATATAAAGAAGCAAGAAAAACCCAAATAAACAACCTACTTCTATACCTTAAGGGATTAGAAAAAGAAGAATAACTAAGCCCTAGGTTACCACTGAAACAGTACAATAAAGGTTACAGCTTGAGTAAATTACATAAGAAGAGAAAAATAATTTAAATATTAACCAAACTAATATTGGTCCTTTGAAAATGTTAAAAAGAAAAAAAAGAAAAAGAAAGAAAAAAACCGTTAGCTGGATCTCATGACTCACAAGGGGGCTTTAGGTCTTCACATGTTGCCTGGATCTGATTTGTCCTCAAGATAGCATTTATATACAAATATTTTGGCAAAGCTCACTAGAAAAAGAAGCTGGACAAAGGGGAATATATTGTTATAGTGTCTTGATCCAAGTTTACCTGAAGTCCTCCTTGCCACAAAAATTTCTGTTCAAATACATTTCTCGCTTCTTACTTTTTATTTTTATTGAAGCCGGTATGATTCAGCTCCTGCCATTCAAATCTACAGGAAGTCCTGGAAACACATTTGTAAACTCATGTCTTCCTCCTCCAATCTGATGCCTACTTGGGGGTCACACAACCACACTGGAAACACAACAGACATCAAAGCCACACAGAGCTTAGAGGTCATCATTTTAACCTCTTTGCTGGAAAGTCTCTGGAGACTGTGGCCCGGGCGAATGGCTGGCACTGCGGGTGCATGTTCACCATTGGTGCTCACGACAACCCACTTAGTAGGCATGGAAAACCTCATTTTCCAGCTGAGGATACTGAGATCCAGGGAAGGGAGGTGGCTGGCCTAGGTCTCACAAGCACAGAAAACCAGCATTTGCATGCATAGGAAAGGTCAGGTCATACTGAGGACAGCTGATGGGGCAGGAGAGTCCTTGGACTTGAATATGTTTATTCCCCGATGTCTGCTGTTTGAGTTGGTTGTTACGCCTGGTGGATTGGGCCCATGTCAACACGGAACACCTGGTCCAGGAAGCCCAGATGGGTGCCCACTTGGCATCGGGCTTATAGCACCAGCAGAGACCTCTGGGTCACCCATGCCCATCTCCTCCGGTCCCCCACCTGCGTCTCAGTAGGAACCGGATGAACTCAGCTGGGACAAAGTACAGGCAGGGCTGGAGGCTTGAGGAGCCAGCCTTCCTCACCGGAACTGTGCTCCCACCATCAGAGCACAGAGCAGGGGGAGGGTGGCAGCCCAGGTGCCCAAGCCCGGTGCTGGGACATGGAGGACCCCATCCAGCAGGGCCTTGGATCCGTCAGCAGACCACCCTCCACACTGTCTGAGCCTGGTTTGTACACATCTGAGGTCCCTCTTCCCCTGGTTGTGGGCACAGAGCTGAGGGATCTGAGGAAAATCTTGTGGAGAGACTTGTTCTCACCTCAAGACTGCAACCCAGGGGGTGGGGAGTGATGTAATGAACTCAGACCTGGAGTTGGCCCCAGGCTTCCGCTGCCTCCTTGTAAAGTAGGTAAACAACCTGGCACCTGGATCCCCGTGGCAAAATGGAAATTAAAAGGGTACCAAGGGGACGGTGGTCAGACCCCAGTTCTGGATTCGGGCAGACTGCTTTCTAATCCTCTCTTTCCCTGTTGCTGGCTTGAGGCCTGGACAAGGGACTGCATCTCCCTGAACCTCAGGTCCCTAGTGTGCAAAATGAGACCAAATATGGGAGTCTCCTCCCAGGTATGCTGTGAGGATGTGGAGGGATGCTGTGTGTAGGCTCCGAATACATGGTTACAACACTGATGATGATACTATAATTACACCTCAGGTGTCCCATCTGTACATGACCCCACTGCACAGGCTTATGGAGAGGATCAAGGGAGGAGATCAAGCATCCAATATGCTTTATGCTTAGTCAATGGAAACCAGATTTCTTATTGTGTGCACTATAAAGACCGCATGACCTAGATGGGCTCAGACTTCCTGGCACCTGTGTCTATAAGTTCTGGCTCCCTGGTGACTGGTGTATAAGCTTTGGGAGGTGCAGTTCCTCACTGAGCCTCAACTTCCTGTCAGGACCATGTTAGAGATTCCAAGAACTCTGGTATCATGTACACCTGATTAATTGTAGGGGCTGGATGGAGCTTTCTGCAGAGAAGCCCTCCTGGGCTTGGAGGGCTGGATTGATTAGTGATGTCTGCCCCCAGTTCAGGAGAGGAGAGTGGAACGACTGCATGTTCGCCAGATCAGGACCAGGTCATCTCTAATGGCCCCTCCAGCCCGTGATGGGTGCATGGACACCACATGTTCACGGAGGTTGGGACTCTGGGACCTGCCTAGTGCTGTGGGGTGGAGAAGAGACCCTGATCTGGGTTCCAGGCTTGGCTCAGTTTATAACCTGTTTTGTGACTCTGAGTAAGATGTTCATTTTCTCCAGGTTCTCCATTTCTTCTAACTACAAAATGAATAGAAGCTTCCTGCTACACATTTGACCCCTCGGTCTTCTGAGAGGTGGTTAGGAATGTCTGGGGGCTACTTGCTACATTCCCACCAGCTGGAGCAACGTGCATAGGGGAGAAAACTTGGGCCAGCCCAGCCCACACCCTTAGCCGCTACACATACCTGTGGTCACCTGCGGGGCCAGAGAGAAGGGAGGGGTGGCTTCTAATGCAGCAGAAGTGCCCGTGTCTGGGGAGAGGCCGATGTGCGCAGAACGTACTTGAAAAAGGAGCAACGTGCTCTCCCTCAGGGAAGTCTGCCATGGGCAGGGTCCCCGATCTGTGTGTTATAATAACAGTGACAAGAACATGTCAGGGAGCATGTGTTCATCAGCTATGATCACAAGGCATTGTTATGGCACAGGGGACACGTCAGGGAACAAAACAGAC